AAATAATGACACCAACGCGAACTCCTAATTCAATAAGGATAAACGATTAACTTACCAAACGCAGCCGCTGAGAAACCGCAAAAAAGTTTTGAGTTTCCTAATTCGACAGAATTATACAGACACTTTTCTAGTTGCACTTAAATATAGTCTGGCTCTACAAGGTATTTACTATCGAGCTCCGGGCCGAGTGCGGGTGTACAGTGGACGGTCGCCCCCTTCAGCATCATCAGTGGCCTGAAACATGATTGTCCCGCAACACGCTCCTTCTTCGACTTCGCTATGGCACCGGTGGTCGAACACAACTAGCCTCTTCACGTCCGCTGCTCTAAGGGGCCAGGTTTCACAACAGTACAGTAGGGTCGAACGTACCGCTGTATTGTACACTCTACGCTTCATGGCAAGAGTGATGTCGCGCCGGCGCCATAAGTGGCGAAGGTTGGCAAAAGCGCATCGAGCTTTGCCTATACGGTTCATGATCTCATCTTCAATCCCACGAGCACTGACATAACTTCCCAGGTAGTTGAATTTTTGAACGACGTCTAGCTGATCGCCACCAAGGGTCAGCGTAGGAGATGGTCCAGGTCAATCTTGGAGGAACGCTTTGCACTTCGAGGGTGCGAAGCAAAGCCCGAAGCGTCTGACAGTCAGTGCTAATCTGTCCAGTGCCGCTTGGCAGGTTTGTGAGCTGCCAGCGATCAGGGCAATATCGTCAGCATACTCCAAGTCAAGAAGTCATTCTCCTGGGAGGAAATCCACACCTTCTAAGTCGTATCCCGTGAACGCGATTTCCATGACTTCGACAATAGCGAAGTTGAAGATGAAAGGGGATAGCGGGCATCCTTGTCTCACACTGCTGGAGATATTAAAGGGCGACGACAACTTTCCGTAAGCCCTCACTCTGCCCGAGCTACGCGCGTATAATGACTGGATAATATTTACAAATTTCTCAAGTACACTTTTCCTGAGTAAACAATCCCAAAGGGCACACAGATCCACTGAATCGAATGCATCTTTGATATCGAGGAACACGACAACGGTGGGTCGCCAATATATGTGACGGTGCTCCAACAACTGACGCAAGGTGAAGATGTAGTCAATGCAGCCACGATCTCGACGAAACCCCGCTTGCTCTTCACGAATATTGCTTTCACAAGTGCCAGTCAGTCTGTGGAGGATGATAGAGGCAAGCAATTTTGAGGTGATGGAGATCAGACTGATTCCTCCATGGCTGCCGCAATCCTATCTTGAGTCTCCCTTGAAAATTGGGACTATGACGGATCGGCTCCAGTCGGTTGGGACAGTTTCCTGCTCCCACAGTTTCACTAGTAACTAGTGTAAATCATCCACAAGAGCAGGCCCCCCAAACTGGCGCAGCGAAACCAGTTTGTTGAAGGGTATACTTGAATTCGCCAAGATACGACGCCGAACGTCGTTACTGATAACTCAATGTTGCCACTATAGACGAGCAATCCTCCTTAAGCAACCGTTATCGAAGGCAGAAAGATGACGCACGTCTCCCACGCGAAGCGGTCAAGACTTGATCCCATAGAATAACAATGAGTGAACAGAAACACAGCAAACGCGGCCCTTTAGCGAGAATGAGATGTCGCGACGACGCCACAAGTGCCTCAGATTGGCAAATGCTAATCAGGCTTTAGCCATGCGAAGAGAAAGTTCGTTGCTGATAGTGCCGTCAGCAGAAACACAGCTCCCAAGGTAGACAAAACTATCCACTTGTTCATGTTATGCAGCTTCAAGGGTGAGCACAGGAGCGGGTGTGGGCCCATTCTGGAGCAGTACTTAACACCGGTGGAGCGAAGTTCACGCCATACTTAGATGCTTCAACCGGCAAACGATCTAGAATGAGTAGCATACCCTGAGGATCGTCACCAACTAAGGTGATAACATCAGCATAATCTAAGTCGGTCGGGCGCTCACCCGGTAGAAGCTCTAGGCCAAAATATTGGAAAGCTTCTAGAGTACTCGACAGAACGTCTTCGATTGCGAAGTTGAAGAGGAATGGAGACATGGGGCAGCCCTGTCGCACACCGCTATTGGCAGTGAATTGCGAGGAAAGCTTGCCATAGACCCTCACTCTGCCGGATGTATGAAGGTAAAGTGCTCGTAAGATGGCGGTATATTTCTCTGGCACCCCGTTCTGTAGCAAGCAATGATATAAAGCTGGTCGATCAACGGAGTCAAAAGCGGCACGTATGTCTAGGAATGCAACAATAGTGGACCTGTGATAGATGTGGTGATTTTCGAGGAGTTGGCGGAGCGTGATTTGATCCACGCATCCGCGGCCGGGGCGAAAACCACCTTGTTCTTCACGGTAATATGATTCACGTGCTGGGGATAGTCTTCAAAGCAGAATGGATGCCAATAGCTTAGAGGAAACTGAAATAAGGCTAATCCCGCGATGGTTTACACATAAAGTGTGAGCGCCTTTTTTGAAAGTGGGGACAATAACCGATTCGCCCCAAGAGGAAGGCATTTTCAGTTCATGCCAGATTTTTGCGCACAGCGCGGCCAGCTGGTTTATGATCGCCAAGCCGCCGTACTTGAACAGCTCCGGAGGAAGTCCGTCTGAACCGGCAGCCTTGAACCGCTTCAAGTGTCGAATCTCGAGGGAGACTTTCGCTTCGCTGGGTGGATTCAGTGGGACGAGCCAGGGTGGACAACAAGGTGTACTGCATGTACTGATGGACGGTGGAGGGCAGTTTAACTGCGATTGAAAGTTTTCGGTCCAGCTGTCCAAACGTCTCCTCTGTTGGTTGGTAATCGGAGACTCATCCGTCTCGCAAATAACCTCACTGACACCAGTGGACCGAATGAGTTGAAAAAGCTTGAGAGTGTTGCCAGAGAGGGCAGCGGTTTCCATCACTAAAGCAAGCTCAGACCACTATGCCTCGCGATCCTTGCGTAGGCTTTGCCTGAGCAGCTGGTTGGCAGAACGGCGCCGTTCGTTGAAATTTGATTCTGCCAGGATATCTTTGCGGCGGTCGAACAGCTCCAGACAGAGAGAGCAGAGATCCAAGCCTTTAAGGGGCGTCCAGCTAGGCCGCAGCTTGACTGTCCGGAAATGGTCATCGCTTTTTGTATACAAGTCCAGTGTTGCTCTAAGTCTTGCGGTTGATTGTAACTGAGTGCGCATGCCAGTGAAGACTGATAGCTCACCTGGACAGAGAAATCAATTAAGCTGTTTACATCAATCTTGGGTGCTCCGTTTTCGGGACTCCACAAAACACATGCAGATTATCGCGCAGAACAGTGCTTAATCTGAAACAACGAAGGTGGACCAAAACGACCTGCAGTCCAGTACGCTGCCACGCCATCTGAAGCTGATTGCAATTTGATCAATTTGTCCCCATTGAATGCAATTAAAGTTCAGGCGGTCGATCTTTCAGCCAAATTCCACAGTCTGCTCTGTCCGCGGAACTCTTTTAGCCATGTGCACGTTTATACACAATTTGAGTTCCATTTTTCCACCTTCGCAACCGTCCTTCTGTGACAGCACAGGTTTTTCCAAGTCCTTCCTCGAATTCTCCTGCCTTTTTCTTCAGAAGCGGGCCTGTAACCGTTTGGTCAAGCTCAAGAACCGAGATCATCCAGTCTATCACTGCAATTTCCTCTTCATCCTTTCCACATCGCTTCCTTTTCTGATAACGTGCAGTGCCATGTGACAAATTCTGCCGGAGTTCCTTTTCACTGACAATCAACCTGGCTAGGGTAGGACGAGAAATGTGCAAATCACGCGACAACTTGGCCTGCGAGGTTAGTGGTGGATATGTTTCAATTTGTCCAAGACGTGCAACTTTGCTGCCAAGGACAAATCCTTCTGTTACTTGGCAAACTTGTGTAACCAATAGAGTAGTGACAAATGTGGAGCGGAAAGTTTATCCGACTTTTCTCAGTTCTCGAGTTTTGAACAGGGCCGAGGACTTATCCACAGACGTCTGTAGATTTAGATTGCTCGCGTACTGAATGATATAGGTAACCTTTTCCGATCTGTCAATAACGTCGCTGACATCTTTGTTGTTCTTGACACGATCGGACTGGCTAACTGTGGGGCAATCTTTATAAAAGAGTCAAAGAGAGGGCAAAATATTGACAAAGCGACAACAGCACAATCTCTGTAGCTGGGGAACTAAGCGGTGGGACGACCCCGGTAATGGGCAATTAGACGGTGAGAATGTAGCCTATTTATGAGAAAAATATTTGTATTTTGAAAAACTGGGCACTAAAACGAGGTGGGATATAAACCAGGTTTGACTGTAGTATGCAAAATTATAAAAGGCTAAGTAGTGTGATCGTGATTGGAGGGGAGACTAAGAGGGATGGGGTGGGACAAAGAAACTCACAGCACGAACGCCACTGAGGTCGGCTCCTAGCCATGTCAGCAAGTGTATCCGGCCAAACGTGTTGGCACATTTTAGCATTAGTCAAGAGCTGAAGTAGCTCCTGATAGAAGTCGCCTTTGACCGAGCCACTACTAGTCGGTTGGAGCGTACGCGGAGATCACAAACAAGTTACGTCTCTCTTTGTGGCGCTTAGTGATTCTACATGAACCCCGAAGCCGAAATGCACATAGTCGGCTGTTAATCGGGAACCAGTCCAGTAGTGCCGCCTCAGCCTTGGCACTAAATGCTACATCTACACCAGCCAAACCCGCTGAGACTGCTTCTGGGTCTCCAGAAAAACGCTGGTAATTCCTGGCTTCGTGGTTAGTGGGGGATGTCAATGAAAGCACAGTGCTAGGTTATCAACATACGAGACAAATTCAAGATGGCAGAAAAAGAGATAAAAAAGATTCGCAACAAAGGCCAATAAAGTTAAGGAAAATAACCGCCTTTTGTTTAAGCAACGTGGGTACGTAAATAGAAGATTATTCAGATAGACATTAAAAATTAGTGTTAACAAAATATGGCAAACTAATCACCTGAAATAAAGAAACTCAGCAAGCAAGCATGCGGTTAGTAAATCGAATGCAGCGTACCTACCAACGCTGCGCTGGTTCTGCCCACGTTCTCAGCAGCACCCGTCATCGTTTCGATGCTGGTCCCGTGCGGCCTTGCTCATGGCACACTAGGCCTGCCTGACTTAGGCACTCACGACCGCATGTGCTACAACAACATGCGCCCGACGTCGATGGAGTGCACCAAAAGGCCGATTGTCGCTACCACAACTGCCGATTTTCCTCGGCATGCACGAGGGTTTTCTCTTGCACGTCGGCAACTGCCTTCATGATCAGATAGTGCTGTGCAAGCCGGTCAACTGCCTTCGATTCTCAAGACCTGAAATTAACAGTAGAACCTGATAAACTCACCTTGATCATGTCCTGATAAGGTAAATTCGGTTTTCCCACGTGCCGCTTCCCTGTACGCAGTTGGCCATAAAGCAGCTGTTTCGGAATCCAGGTTGAGTCCATGCGGCGAATATGCCGAGCTACTTCACGTGCCTCAGCAGAATTATGCCGTTCACTGCATACGTGCCACAGCGTCGGAGCACCTCCGAGTCCGCAACTCGGTCACTCCAGCCGATACGCGTAATAAGACGCTGACACTGCTGATGGAAGCGCTGCAGATACCTGTCATACTTCCGATAAAGCGTTCAGGTTACACTGTCGTATAGAAGAACGGACAGCACCATAGACCCATATACCAGCAGCTTCGTCCCAACAGTGAGTTGGCGGTTGTTCGACACACGGCATTCCAGCTTGCCAAAAGCAGCAGTCCCCTTCGAAATGCGGCTGCGCAACCCGCTCGTCATCTGTAGGTCGGTTGTAAATACGTCCCCAAGATAGCAAAATCTCGGAGTGGTTTCCAACACCTCGTCGGCAACCGGGATTAGGGTGGGCTGAAAGAGACAGACAGTTTTGCTTTTGTTGATGGTGAGTTCAAATTTGGCCGCTGTCGAAGCCACAACACTAGTCATGTGTCGCAACTCATCCGCGCTGTGTGCAAACAACGCACAGTTGTCAGCAAACAGCTACATATGGATAGTTATCGCACAGACTAGGATTTTCGCACCGAAACGACGGATGTTCAGCAACCCACCATCAATACGGTGCTCCACACGAACACCGTAAGCACCAGCCGCATCAAAAGCACAAGACATCATTCCATGAAGATATATATTAAAAAGCGTAGGAGCTAAGACACAGCCTTGCTTCACACCAGAGACAACAGCAAAGTCATCCGAAGTCCCACAACTCAGCTGCATCGTCGCCTGCATGCCACTGTGTACGCATTCGATTACATTTAAAAACTTACTCGGACAATCAAACTGATCCAACACCAGCCACAATGCCTCGCGGTTCACCGCATCAAATGCCTTGGTGAAATCAACAAAAGCCAGTACAACGGCTGGTGTCGTTCTCTACACTTCTCCTGCAACTGACGAGCCGCAAACACCATATCGATGGTGCTGCGACCCGAACGGAATCCACACTGCTCTTTCGCCGCGTTAAGTTCCACAACCTGACTGACGCGGCGGTTGAGCAGGATTCGGGCAATCACTTTGCCCACACAATTCAGCAAGTTGGTGCCACGATACTTCGTGCAACATTGTTTGCTCCCTTTGCCCTTGTACAGTGATAGCACAGGGGCATCCTTCAGCTCAGCAGGCACCTCCTCCTCAATCCATACGCGTTGCACCAAGTGGTGCAGCTCAGTCACCAACGCGGGTACGCCGTGTTTCAGTACTTCAGGCGGGATCTCGTCGGCCCCGGCACACGTGCCGTTTCGCAGCTGAGAAAGTGCTTTCTGCGTCTCATCCAGTATCGGCGTGTCCGTCAGACTCGCCTTCACATCGTGCTGCTTCAGGCCTTTCAAAGTAGGCCAGTCGATCTCTGAACAGTTGTTAAAGAGACAGTCAAAGTGGTTTTGCCAGATCTACATTATGTCTGCAGTCTGTGTGCAGGTAGCGCCTGAACTACCATCGATCAGCGTCCTCAGCGGCTCCAACCTCAGTCCATACACCGACTTCAAGAAGTCAAAGAATTCCTTATATTGGCAGCGTTCCGCGTAACATTCCATCTGCTTCGCCTTCTCCGTCCACCAAGCATTTTTAAGGCGACGGAGCCCTCAGGTCAGTCACCGTCGAAGTTTGCGAAACTGACTATTCTTCCCCAAGGCACTGGGGTCTGCCACATGTGCAGTAAATGCTGCATTCTTCCTCGACACCAATGCGCCAATCGTCGCATTGTTCTCATCAAACCAATCAGGCCGCTTACAGTTTGCGCGCCCGATGGTCTCTTCGGCAGCAGTCGTTACCTGGTCGCGAATGTGGTGCCACAGGTCGCCCACTGTGGCTATGCAGTCCACATCACACGGTCGTGCTGCCATTGCCTTCTCCAGCTCCAGTACGTTGCGCCCCAGTACCGAGGGAGGGAATGTTAAAGTTACGCCGATTCACTGTAGGAATTCAATACATTGATTTAGGCAAATATTTGTGCAGTTTGGTCTGCACCAATTTACGATCAGTGTCACACTCAGCTTCACGCGGTACACGTGTCATGTGCACTTCACGCATATCGCGCTGACTTACGATGACATAGTCGAGCAGGTGAACGTGACCACTACGTGGGTGCGTCCAAGTTGCTACATCACTCGCACTCAGCGCAAACCGAGTGTTCGTGATCGTCAGGTCATCATCATCATCATCAGTACATGTTAACTGAGGGTGAGAAACACACCTCAGCTAATGTGCCGCAGTACAAAAAGATAGACTAAAAGATTACACAACAAAATTGCGTTAAATATTATATTATGCGTTGCATGAGATCGGGACTGGAAATGGAACGTAAAGTAAGGGGGATGGACAAAGGAACTCACAACACAAACGCCATTGGGGCCGGCTCCAAGCCATATTAGCAAGTGTGTCCAACCAAACGTGTTCATCGTCCTTAGGACACCAGCCAGGCAGTCGGGATGCACCCAACCGACGCCAGTTTCGAAGTGAGGGTTTTCTTTCCTCTCGACCTAATCATCACTTAGCCTCTCCACTTCCTCTTCCAACCGCACGCCCGGCGAGCAAACAATGCACGTCGCGGGAGTCGGTGTGCTGGCATGTGCAACACGTGGCCCAGCCATCGGAGCCTGGTGCGTGATATAATGGTGCTGGGCGGTTCAGTCGCTCCTCCTACACCAAATACGCGACGTCGAACACGCTCATTGCTCACGCAGTGCTCCCACCAGACAGGAGCTCAGCTGCGAAGGCAGCCAAGATCAAAGGTGACTAACCTTTTTATGTCTGTCGAGCTGATGGGCCAGGTTTCACAACCATACAGGAGGGTTGAACGGACGGTTGCGTTGTAAACTCTGTCTTTCAGGGCGAGAGTGATGTCGCGTCTGCGCCACAGGTGGCGGAGATTGGCAAAAGCACCTCGAGCTTTTGCTATACGGTTCGTAATCTCATCTTCGATCTCACGGGCGCTAATATAGCTGCCCAGGTACTTGAATTCCTGAACGACTTCTAGCTGATCACCACAGAGCGTTAGCGCAGGGGTGGGTGTCTGCCAATCTTGGAGAAGTACTTTGCATTTCGATGGAGAAAAGCATAGCCCAAAACGATAGACGGTCAGTGCTAATCAGTCCAATGCTGCTGGAGCTGTTTGGGAGCTGTCACAGATTAGGGCAATATCGTCCGCATACTCCAAGTAAAGAAGTCGCTCACCAGGAAGTAGCTCCACACCTTCTAGGTCGTGTACAGCGGATGCTGATTCCAAGACTTTGTCAACTGCGAAGTTAAATAGGAAAGATGACAGCGAGCAACCTTGTCTCACACCGCTGGTGATACTAAAGGGTGGCGACAGTTTTCCATAAACCCTCACTTTACCCGAACTATGCGCGTACAGCGCTTTGATAATGTTTATGTATTTAACAGGCACACTTTTCCTCAACAGACAGTCCCACGGGGCACAACAATCGACTGAGTCGAAGGCAGCTGTTATGTCAAGAAAAACGACAACGATGGGTCACCAATAAACATGGCGGTGATTCGACAATTGACGCAAGGTGAAAATGTGGTCGATACAGTCCCGACCTCGACGAAACCCGGTTTGCACTTCACGAATCTGGCTTTCACGGGTGCCAGTCAGTCGGTGGAGAATGACAGACGCAAGCAACTTAGAGGCAATTGAGATCAGACTGCTAACTCTATAACTGCCGCATTCCGAACGGGAGCTGCCCTTGAAAATTGGGACAATGACGGAGCGGCTCCAGTCGGTTGGGATATTCTCCTACTCCTAAAGTTTCACAAGCAGGTCCCCCGAATTTGATTAGGGCTGGGAGAATTCTATCTGACCCAGCGGTCTTATGCAATTTCAACAGCCTGAGCTCACGTTCGACTTATGCGCGTGTTGGCGGATCCAAGCAGACGGTCCAAGGAGAAGGGCGCTCAATGCCCGAAAAAGAAAGCGACAACTTAGGTTGATTAAATTGCCTTGCAAAGTGTTCGGCCCAACGCTATAAACGTTTTGACGGGCTGTGTATCGGCTACCCATTCTCGTCGCGTATGGTATCGCTAACACCAGGTCCCCTGCTGCCTGTTTCCCATACCAGACGGAATAACTAACGATGATTACCAACGGTAGCGGCTGTTTCCATCTCCGAGGAACGATGAGACCACCCGGCTTCGCGGTCTCTCTTCACGACGGCACGTAGTTTTGCCCTGAGATTTTTGCGAGCCTCATGGTATTCGTTTCCAGCCGTCGGCGAGAATCAATAAGTTCCAGAGACTTTGTAGAGACCCAATGTTCCGTATGGCAATTTGATTTGCCACATGAAGACATGCCTGCTGATAGTAACATTTGACGAATATGCGACCAGTGATCTTCGACGGTGTTCAGTGGGTGTTTACTTAGCCCGGATATCAACGCATTTGGATACACATTCAGAACACCTGGCTTCGCCAACTGGCTGGTGTCAATCCTTTCATATAGACGTTGCGGACGTCCACCGAAATCAACCAGGAGGTCCGTGTAGACACGTGTGTGGTCAGATACTATGCTCGTGCTCCAAATAAAGCGACAGTTTTGGACACAGCCTTTCCAGCGGTAACTGATCGCGATATGATCCATTCGCGTCCATGGCTGGTGCGAAGCCGGTGGGCGCCAAGTCAAGCTTCTGCGGGTGCTGGGTCGAAAGTTTGTTCTCGTGAGAGAGACGAGCATCTCCACACAGCTGTAGCGATCGCTCACCCGGAGCCTACACCATGTTGACCACCCAGACGAAGCTCATCAGAGGACAATTTACCGACTTGGGCGTTTCGATTGCCAGCCAACACCACAATATCCGTGCTTCGTCTGTAACGAAGGAGATGGTGAAGTCGCTGGTAGAAATCAGCTTTCACCGAATCAGTGCTACAGTTTGTAGGAGCGTAGGCCGCAATGACAAACATGCACTGTTTGTTCCCGTGCGACCACGCAGCATGGAAGGAAACAGCTAATCTAACGGTACGCATCCGACTGTTGACAAGCATCCAATCGATCAGGGTAGCTTCAGCACGGGGACTCAAAACAATGCCGACGCCAGCTTGACCGGCATTTGAAACTGCATTATCGCCAGACAGGTGAAATGGGAATGTGCCGCCAATGTCGCATGTGAGGGATCGCAGAGTAAGCACGGAGCTGGAAGCTTGCACACGGTTTTCTGATAAACAGCAAATATCGATAGGGTCTCTAGTGAGTGGGCAGATGCTGGCTGCTGCCCGATCTGCAGCAAAAGGCGCACTTTGAGGCATACCAGTATAAGCGAGACTCAAGGACACCAAAGAGAAACGTCAGGTGGTGAGTGACACACAGTGAGAGCA